CACGCGTGTGTTCATGGATACTCAAACCTGACTCCCTACACACACCCAAGTGTCCATACCACACACATAAAAGGAAAAATGAAAAACAACGAACCCTATTCCTTCTGGTGTAGGGTTTAGCCGAGAATGGGAGTGCAACAGCTCTGTGTCACGAATTCTTTTGAGGGTATCACTACAAAGCCACATGTCCTTTGTCCCCCTTGGCATTCTTTCCTCCATCTCCTAGTCTTAATTCCTATTCCTGTTGTTTAAGAAAAGTTAAGACGATCCAAACCAGTTCTCTGATCCAAAAGTTTAAAAACACAGCCGGGACATTTTTTTTTCTAAATACAGACATTGCAACCCTGAGTTCTGAGTGACTGGCTACAGCCCTCTGTTTGCAAGAAGCAAAGAACAATATTTTATGCTGGAGTTGCGGTAATATAAATAACCATGCCTGGAGAAACCTTTCTGCCAATGTCTCATAGCCAAGAGGACGGGCTGGGTCCTCGCAGAGACCTAAAAGAGAATCAGGGGAAAGTCGGAGGTTTCCTGTCTTTGTAATGAGTTTACTAATTAAATCTTAATTGTAAACCAAGCTGAGCAAAATTCAAATGAACCTCTGGTGCCAGAAGCCAGGTTATTATGATGGAATTGTTTATAAGGACAGGGAAACGACTTTCTAAACATCACATTCCTGTGCAGGAGCCAAGACCCCGAAGAAGTCCCAGGGAGGAGAAGCTCAAAATGCAGCCGTTAAGTGACTGAGGAATTGGGATAGCTCAACCAACACCCAGATGTCCGGGTCCCCTGAATTCAGCTACTGTCAGAGGCTGCAATATTTTTCTGATGGACTGCAAATGCTCCGGTCTGTGTGCAGCGTGGTTTTGCCCGTTAGCACAAGTGGTTCAGCATTTCAGCAGGGATATGATATGGTGACGATGGAAATGGAAATTCCTTTTCCTTTATAAACCCCCAACTGCTCCACCGAAAAGGAAGCTGAGCAACTAGGCAGAAGCCTGAAAGCCTCGGACAAATGAAGTCACGTAATGGAAAACTCACAAAGTTGGTCATGCTTCCTCTTGGTGGTACTGGGGGTGGGGCCTAGGCCAGAAAAGAAATCAAAGCAATGCTCACATGATTAAGTACATGGTTTAAAATGATCTATTATCAGGTTAAGAGAGGAAAACCCAAATGCCCATGTTCTGCTTTGCTTGGTTGTTATGGGTGATGGTGTCTGCATGCATGCCTGTGTGCATGTATGCATGTTTGTGTTTTCCTTTACTCATTTCTTTAAGGGAATTTTATTGGGTGTGACAGACTATCCCTGTAACTCCAGCACTCAGGAGGCTGATGTAGGTGAATTACAACTTTGAGCCCAGCCCAGACTGCCTAGCAAGTCTCTGTCTCAATAATAAACAAATAAAATGAAATACTTTCCTTGGAGCCTGTTTTTGCGGTGCGTGCGTGCAAGTGTGTGTGTGTGGGGGGGGGGGTGCGCGTGCATCCCTGTAGGGACCAGAGTTCAATCTGACTGTCATTCCGAAGTGCTATCTACCTTGTTATTTGAGGCAGAATTTCACATTGGCTCTGAGCAAGTCTTAGTATCAACAAGAGCTCCATCAGGGACTGGAGCGATGGCTCAGCCATTAAGCGCACCTGCTGCTCTTGCAGAGGATCTGAGTTTGGCTTCTAGCATCTATGTTAGATGGCCCATAACTGCCTGTAACTAGAGTTCCAGAGAATTTGACCATCTCCTCTGGGATCTTTGAGCACCTACAGGCACACACACACACACACACACACACACACACACACACACACACACAATCTTAAAGATCCACACCAGACAGGAACGATACATGTCTCCATGATTCACAGGCTAGAATAGGACTTAAAAGAAGTATTATTACAAGTTACTATTAATGTTGATACCTGTGGTTATTGATTGTCAACTTGGCTGTTGTTTATGAAAACACGTCTCTGGGTGTCTTTGAGGCTGCTTCCAAAATTCTTAACTAAGTAGGGAATGCAGCATCACCATCCTGTGAGCAGGGCTCTCAGACTGGATTAAGAAGAGGTGGCCCCTGAGCACCAGCGTTCCTCCCCATCTGCCTCCTAACTGCGCATGCCATGTGACGGCTGTCTCCCATGCCTGACAGTGGACCATCCCTGACATGAAACTCTAGGCCAATAGAAACCTTTATTTCCTTAAGTGGCTTCGGTCAGATACTAGGTCACAGTGATAGGAAAAGTAAATAATACGTCATTTGACTTTTAATGAAGAGAACAGAAGGCAAGAAAGTTGCCTCTCTGGGGAGTTGTAATAAAACACGCCTCCTCCATCTCTAATTTTTTGAGCCACTTTCTGAATTATCCCAACAGAGAATTGGTAAGTCTCTACTATTTTTTACTCAGTAAATTTAAATTGTTTTTATGGTTCTTTCTTCAAATCTCCATATGTTCTACTGTTTTCTTGCTAAAGGATACAGAGCCCACCTGTAGACAGTGAAAACTCATTTTATGTTTGGAGTCTTCTGAGGCTATTTTGAGATGTGGTGCCCATAGATTTCATTTTAGCTTTGTCTGTCTGCAAGGTAAATACCATGCTAATTGCAAGAAAAAAAAAATGGGCCATCCTTGAAAGGCTTGCTGTTTGGATGAGGTCATTGGTGGCTCCAATGGAGTTGCTGAACTTAATGTCATTGATTCCTACACAGAGGAAAGTTGCACACCACTCCAGTGTGGATCAGAACTTGGTAGATGCACTGCGTTGCTTTTGCTCAGAAGTTGATGAGCGTGGTGGAGGACAGGCACCCAGGAGCGTGGAGGCCAGGAGGCCGCGTTAGCTGTGACTCCTGGAGCACCATTCATTTTGTATGTTGAGACATAATCTCTTGGTTCTTGTTGTTAACTGATCAGGCTGGGCTGGTTGGCTGGTCAGCAAGTCCCAGGGATCTGCCTGTTTCTACCTCCCCCTAGCTAGAACTACAGGATCGGGCCACTGTATCTGGCTTTTCAAATGTGGGTTCTGGGGGTCCAACTCAGGTCCTCATGCTTGTAAGGCAAGCACTTTACAGCTGAACCATCTTCCCAGCCCCAAACGATTTCTTGTTTGTGCTTTTAATCTATCCATCAACAAATTCTGTTTGTCACTCTCCCCACCACCCCTTACTTATACCGTGCCAACCACTATGCAGACTGCAAGGACTGTCACTAGGGAATCGACCAGTCATAACAACCCTGAGGACACGGGTTCTCAGACTATTGCTGCTGGGTGGGCAGGCTTGGGGAAAGGCGAGAGGATCGTACACAGACTAGTGTCTCATCATTTTTACATCAAGGGATTAGATCAACACAGAGTCTACCAGCACAATGCTACCTAGAAAATGAACCCTGGGGACCCCCACCAAAAGTTTAATCTGTAGACTTAGCATTCCCGGGTCAAGAGAACTGATGGAGAATTCATGTGTTCTAGGATAGATGTCAGAAGGCCCGCTTTATTTATTTATTTATTTATTTATTTATTTATTTATTTATTTATTATTTGGATTGGTTTGGGGGAAGGGGAGCTTTCTTGTTTTCTTGGTTTATTTATTTGTTTTATTGTTGTTAACATGCAAAGTCTTATGTAGCTTAACTGACATGGAAACAATTACTGCAGCCCAGGCTGGCCTTGAACTCTCAACAATCCTGCCTAAGCCTCCTGAGTGCTCGGACACAGGCCTAAGCTAACACACCTGGCTTGGAAGTCAATTTTTATTGACAGCTTATTTACCATGAGAAGAATCGAGTTTTCACAGGCATGTAATTACCTGTTCTAAAACAACTCTAGTTGTAGATTTTAGAATGTCTCACTTTAATTGTTAGATATAGAAATTGGGGGGTTTTAAGAAAGCATATCTCTTATTTATATTACTGCCCCACATTTGTAGGTCAAAAGAAGTATCAGCAGGCACGGAGACACATACCTGTTGTCCCAACACTTAGGAGACAGGAAGAGGACTGTGAGTTTAAGGCCGGATTAAAGTACATGGGTAAAATTTGTCTTAAAAAGCTGAAGAAGGATAGAAAAGTACAGGAGGTAAGTGGTCCATGGCAGAGGCATTTTCTCATGGCCTTCACAATTCATTATATGATTGTTCAAGATAGACCCCAAACAGAGAAGCCTGTCGAATTGTGTGTTCCAATGAGGTAGCTAGGTTCCAGTAGTAACCAGGGATGGCATAACAAAATCTGACATCAAGGATTTATTTTATTTTACTGCTTTCATTAAAAATGAACAACCCCCCTCCCCAATTAGGCATCCTTTTTACCTTAGAAATGGATTTCAGGATGTCAAGTGATAACCTAAGCTGGACTCAAAAGTGCTATTAGTCTGTGAGAAGCCAGGCGTAAAGCAATTCCAGCTTACCAGCCAAAGGTCAGATAAGTCCCCTTGACAAGCTTCACAGCTCCCTGTAACACTCCATTGCTGAAGGCCACAGGCCACAAGATGTTGTGAGTGACTGCCATGCCTCTAAGCCTCAGTGTTCAGCTCCACAATGCCTAATTTCATTTCAGAGAAACACT